CCCAACCCACACGGCACCGCAATCCACATGGCACCCCAATCCACATGGCACCCTACCTTCCTGCCCTTGCTTTCTCCACCTGTGCCCAAAGCAAGCACACTCAGAACTCATGAACCGTGGCAGAGAAAGGGATGTGCAGGATGTCTGGTGAGCCAGACAGCTTTCTGTGATTTTGAAATATACATTAAATGACTGAGAAAAGAGGAAGTTTTTCACTTAGGAAGAAAATGTCAAGATTTCACAAGTGTTTGTTTCTTAGAAAGAATTAATACAGGCATCAACTTTGAAAGAGATGTGCCATGACGCACTCCGAAACGCTTCTTGCCACTCAGCTCTGATTGTAATGAGTTGCAGGCTCTGAAGCTATCAAGCACTACTCTAGCATCCTGACTTGCACAAAGGGTCCTCCAGCCCAGCCTTGAAGGAGAGTGCCTTGATTGCCATGCCTGCTCACCTGCAGCAGCTCATGCGGGGCTGGCAGTTCCAGACCCCCACTTGCTGAGTTTGCAACCTCAGAGCAGCAGTTGTGTTATGTTGGCTTTGTTGGGTTCAAGCCCTGCTGGGCCTGGGACGTCTCATCTGATGGACACCAGGCCCTAGGCTTAGAGGCACCAAGGTTCAGTCATGCCCGGCAGAGGCGGGGAGACTGGGAGGGCATGCAGTGTGATCACAGCCAAATTACTTATCTCAGGTGTTGTCCAGGTCTCATGTGCATTTCCTACCATGTGGGAAAGAGGCGGAGAAGCTCTGTGGTGCCAAATGTTAGCCCCTGGAGTAGGGGCTAAAAGCACAGACCTGGGAGGTACATGGATGGGGCTTGAACTATGGGTCTGCCACGTGCTAGGGTGTAACTAGTTACCTTCCCATGTCCCCATTTCCTTGACTGTAAAATGGGGATGACTGCAGTGCCTGCTTCACAGAGTATGAGGCAGATTAAGCAACTGAGTATCTATATAGCACTTAGAAAGGTCCCTGACATGTGGGAAGCAGTTTGCTTATTGAGATCAATGTGTGAAAGAAAAGACGGTTCAACAGAGAGCAGCTGAGAACTTCAGGGACTGGTGGACAGGCCGCCCTGGGCCAAGAAAAAAGCCAAAATGGCACACCCCACTCGATACCTGGTCTTCAAGGAGCAGAGGAAAGTGCTGTATGTTATCTGGGAGAAGCAGTGCGACTTCCCACAGCTCACCTTCCTTTTGCAGGGGAGTTGAAGCCCTGTGCACACCCCCTCAGTGCCAGCAGGCATGCAATTCCAGTAGACAGAAGAGAGCTTCCTGCTTCTCCGTGCCACACTGCCCCCATCCCTGAACAGTGGGGAGTGGGGACCCTTTGCGGTGCCTGGGCAGACAGTGTAGGCCCCGCAAAGCTCCCAGAGGCTGAGGAAAGATGGCAGCAGCACTCTGAGCTGCAGAGCAGGGCAGCACTCTGACTCACGGTGCTTGGCTTTGCCACCACATCTGCTAAGGCATGGCTCCTGGGGACGGTCTCAAGTGGGCTGTAAGACTTGAACTGTAAGGCTTTTGCATCATTAAAACTCTACAAGCTGCTCTCCACCCTGCTCCTGATGCCAGCCTCTCCTCAGAAACCTTCCATAAACTCATCGCCAAAGCTCAGTTCTGCCCTTCATCCCAAGCAGAGCCTCCTGCCCCCGCCTGGCATCCCTCGTTCTTGGAGGTTGGATGCCTTTCCATGTCTACTCTGAATTTTCTTTTCTGCCCAAAGCATGCCTGTGTCTGCACTGGCCCCTGGCCTGCCATTCAAATGCCTGCCTCTCAGCCTTTGTTGAGGAAGTTCCTTTCTCCAGGCAGTGTCTTCCTGATCTCCTCCCCTGACCACATCTGG